TCCCCGCCCGGCCGCCGCCTGAGGGGAGAGGAGGCGCCGCCGCCGCCCCTCCGTCAGGCCCCGGAGCTCCGCGCCGCGCCGAGCGGCCCTGCCTCGTCCTCCGGCGCTCTCTGCTGAACCACGGCGGCCCTGTGCATGAATTATGTCTGCCACAAGCGTTGACCCTCAGGTGAGTGAGTGGCGAGGCGGCCCGTGGGCGGGGGGATTCCTGGGCCTGCAGCGGGCAGGCCCCGCGAGGCTTTTCTTCTCCCCCTTGGCTGCTTTAGACCTCCATCGTTCTCCTTAACTTCCCCTGTGGGCACAGCACGTTCCCGCCTCCTCCCTGGAGCCGGGGCCATTTCTCAGGAAGGCCGGTGCTGAGTGATACGTGGAACACGCTGCTCCAACCCCAGTCCAAACAAACCTTGAGATGCTGCTGGCCATTTTTATAAGTCTTCCCCGTCTTCAGAAGCTGTGGGGTTTGCAGTGCTATGGAAATATAAGCGTTTTTCTAAAATTAACTTTTTTATTTCCCTTTTTTTTTTTTCCCCCCCGTAATCACGTGCTGTGGCTTCCCAGAGACCGAAAGGACAGGATAATAAAGGTGAGAAATCACGCTGTGATCTGGTCGCTTATATTGTTATTTTAACGGTTCAATTACACAAGTACCTGTAGGTGAGCAGAAATGTATCTCTGTTTCTCTGTATGGAAAACATCTGGTAATGAGGGAATGTGTGCTTTGTTTCAAAAATAACATCGACTGCCATTCATCCAAGCTTGCCTACATCCCACTTAATGCTGCTGGATTTGCAGTGGGAAGAACTGTGTGTTGGTACTAAATAATTCTCCTCGTTTAATAGGAAGCAGGTTGCTACATGAAGGCTCAAGGATATCCCTGTTCAATATACGTATTTTTACCTACTTTTGCACACTCTGTTAATGCAGTTGTATTTCTGCTGTGCTGTTGGATGAGAGATATTTACTTAAGGCCATAAACCTAATAATTTAGGGAACTTAAAAGGTGCATAACTTCTGATGGGATAATAGACATTTTTATAACTCTTCTGCTTCATCTGAAATGAAACTCAATAACAAGTCATCTAAAAAATACCTTCATTCTTACTGTGATTGCTAACAAGTATGTAACTGTTGAGACTCAGAAAGTAATAACATCCAACTTATAAATGCTTTTTAATACATCTTGCCTTGAAAATTCAGCTCCTTCTAGTTGAAGAAACACCTTCCCTGTGTTTGTAAACACTTTTACCTCTACTCCCCTTGACAAACTTTGCAGAAATATTCTACTGAATTCCCAAACTTGTTTGCTAAACATTTTATTTGGTGTAGTATTATATTTTGCTCAGCTGTTTTATGAAGTAGGCAAATACAGCAACTATCACACTATGTATTTGACCTTGTTTTTTCAACTTTAAAGCAAACAGGAAATTATTTGAAGGCACCTAGTAGCCATTTTGGTTTGTATATCATTCAGTAATGGCTTTTGAATGCTTATCAGACATTCTTTTATGCTGAAGTAGGACTTTATGGCAGATATCTTTATTTTACAGATGAGAACGTTGAAACTTAAGTTTTCCTGAAAATATCAGGATACCAAAGTACTTAGCAGTCTTCATTTCATAATTAAATGTAACCTCACCTCATCTTATTTTAGCCAGCTTAAGCAGTGAATAACACACGCTGGGAGAACTGTGAGTTTCTGTGTTCTAATTATGGGCCAGAACAATAGATGTTGTTTTCCAATCTTTTTTCACAAAATTGTTCTCAGTAATGATTTTTTGTTTGGAGTTAATTCACATGAGTTCTTTGCTCACTCTCAGCTGTAGAATTTGTAATTGCTAATTAATTAAGTTTACTCAAACTTTGTTTTATAAGTAGTAATATAAAGAGAAGCTATCTGGGGGTGGGAAATTTCGTTCCTTGGTCTTTTTATGAGTCTTCTTGATTTGCGGAAGAGATATGGCTTTTCCTAAAGTAGCATAGGGTGAAATATCATTCCTACACTGCTGCTGCTGGGATTATAATGTGCTGTAACCCTTTTTTTGTAGTACAAAATGGTTCGTTACATCAGAAGGACACAGTTCATGACAACGATTTTGAACCTTACCTTTCTGGGCAGTCAAATCAGGTTAGTGTATTTTTAACTTTTTTTTTTTTCTTAGGCATGCTGTTGACACTTCATTCATAGGATTGTGTGGAGGGAGCAAATGCCTTAAATAGAAATGGAAAAATAAATGACAGCATATTGTGTTACTTGGTGATACAACCAGCATTTGTGTTCTGAAAGCTGATATTACTCTGCATCTCCAGATGGCCACAAGTGAAAAGTTAATGCTCCAAGGAGCTGGAGTAGATTCCTTCTCCCCTTGCAGGTTATTGATGTGGCTGGACTATGACAGACTGATCTTACAGTTCTTTGATAGGCGAGTTGTTTGTGGGAGTCTGAAAATTCTGCTTTTGGGCTCTCCTGATTTATATTATTTATATAATCATAGAAATTAATGTAGTTGAGATTTGGGTTGGATGTTGTCTAGGTATTTTGTAGAGTTGTCCCATTTTTTACACTTCAGCAAATGTCATTGTTCTTTCATGTACGCTGATACATTTTAAGAACTAAAGATGTGTTACTTAAGAGTAAGGAATTGTAATGTAAACTCTCATTATAATGTACATTAAATCAGCATCCATACCTAAAATACCATTATAACTGACAGTATTCTCTGAAGTAATTTTTGACTTCCCATTCAAATCTTTAAGGGAACAAAACGTTTAGAAACTGGATGAGCAAAACATTTTCATTCACAAGTATGAAACACTTTTTCAGAGGGAAACGCTTACCAGAGGTCTATGATAGGAAAGCTAAGTGTTACATTTTAAAAGGGGAATTTATAATTCAGCCTAAAGCTGTCAGATGCCAGTGTTAATATTGATGACATTGCTGAGCTTGCTTGCAGCATTGACATGTTCCCCAGACCTAAAATAATTTAATGGGAGGCATTCCTTCTTTTGGAGTTAAAGTGCTGTGGAAGGTAGAAAGGAAAAAGGAAGTTAAATCTTAATTTTTAATGCAAAATTAATTATAAAAAATTGAAGCATTCACCTCACTCTGATTTTTTTAAATTGTGCTTTGTCACATTTGTATGTAATTTTTAATTAATTAAAACTAAACTGTGAAACATATTGAATATTCACATAATAAAAATAGACCCATCTATTATAGCTTCATTTCAGGAAATTTGTGTTTGCTGTCAACAAGCCTCAGTTATTAGGATTAAATAGAAAAATTGCTATGGCTGTTAGAATTTCCATAATGATAATAAGAGTTTTCTTTATGGAAGTGTAGTTCCATTGACAAATTTATTTATGCTGCAGTGAAAAATTGGCATGGCACAAGAAACAATTGTGTAGGTCCTCTTACAATTTTAAGTGGAAAGTGACAGTAGCATTAATTAGGACTGTGAGATTTTTGTACTGAAGACAACCATGTTGCTGAACAAAGCCTTATTATCCAGTTATCCAGGCAGATTTATTCAGCCCTTGAAAATTACTGTAAAGTACAGATAACTTAAAAAAAAATTGGAAATCAACTGGGTATTTAAAAAAAACTTGAAGAAATTAAAGCCCCAGCTTACACAATAATATATTTGACATCAAAAATCAAACGTGGGTTAGTAATATTGTGGTAAAAGTATTTTTAAGAGCAGAGGGAACTGAGTCAAGTAGACTCTACATATACAGATTTACACTCAGCAAGTAAAGCATCCTTCTGGAAAGTCATTCAGAACCAAGAGCTTATTCCTATGGAGCAGGGGATCACTAGCAAGTAGCATATTTTGGGGAAAAGGAGATTCTTTGCTAATTAACAGAACGGTTGAGTTGGTTTTGTTTGGGGGTTTTTAATAAGAAAGATATGGAAGAGTACAGAAAGGTCAAGGATAAGTTTATTGAAAGAAACATCCTGCTGTTGTAGGGAAGAACTTCTGTCAGGGGTTCCTTTACACTCTCTGGCATAAAGCCAGTCAAAATAGATTGAATGTTTGGTAAGGATGGCTGCTGAAACTTTCCTTTTATCTTGTTAGAATCCTTGTGGAGACTTTACAGGCTGTGTGAAGAGATGACAGCTGCAGGAATTGTCTAAAATCCTTTAGCCTAAATATTTGATACAAAACACTTGCTTTTCTCTAAGCTTACTCTTTTTGGTCTTCAATTCTAAAGTTGTAGAATATATGAGCATAAGTATCTGAGAGAACTACTTATATCTCCTCCCTTTTATCTGTGTTGGATTTATTTTTTTTTTTAATTAACACTTTACAATATAACACTCAGCAGTGTCAAAGTCTTTTAGAAAAATGGTTTTTTATGCTAAATATCGATTACTTTTTTTGAGCTTGGGAGGCTCAGAAAACTGTATTTTAGAGGATCATGTCATAGGAAGGTGATTTTAGTACCTCTTGTTAGTGATAGGATTTGTGTGTAAATAAAGGCAGCTTGAACAGTGGCAGAGATAATTTCTTTTGAATCAATAACATTGGATTTAGGCTGTTTCAATCTCTGAAGTGTTTGCAGTATTGTATGGAAGTCTTGGAGGTATATTGTGGTATCATTCTGTGTATGAAACATAAGGTTATTGAATTACTCTGGCACTGGGGTGTCATGGAAAAGACATCGTTGAAAAATGAGCAGTAAAAATGATTCTGTATCAGTTGGATATTAGGCTTGTCTTCAGCAAGGATTAGAAAACTGAGAGATAATCAGATTTTTGGAAAAAACTGCTGAAGTTCTGGTGCAGTTTTCCTAATTCTGCAGATATATTTTTCTTTTCAAGTTTTAGATCTAGCAGTCTGAAAGAAGAGTTCCTCTTCTTAAAATAGTCTTTATGAGTAAGGAAAGGCGAGCTACTGTTTGACTCATTAACAGGAGATGTTGACCTTCCCACCCCCTCTGTGGTAATTACAGTTGGAGTGTCACTTTGGAAGATCTCCAATATATGTGCTTCAAGTTGATTTGAAGAGGAATAAAACCCACTTTAGAACATCCTGGCTTTGTTCTTTTGTGTTGTTGAATATAAGAATCTTATGGAATGCTTCAAACTCAGGTGCCAGCAATGTGTTAGTGAGAGGAAAAGCTTCTCAGCTTGGTCTAAGAAACAGTTGAAGGGGAGGGAGGAAATTTCAGAGGGGGTCTGCTGGTTTATAAATGTTTGGTCTCTTATTTCATGGGTGGGAGAGATGTCCTCTTTGGAAGGCCAGTCAGGAACACTCCTGCACAGTTGTAACTTTACTACTGAGGGAGGAAAAGACTCATGCAAAAGGCTGGAAAGGGTTTTTCTCCCAGAGTTTGGATGGTTTGTGTCATGTGCCATCTTGGCAGGATTTGTCTCTGGCAGAGCAGGCCATGTAGTGTCAGTTTGTATCTCTTACCTGTGGCAAACTTGGCATGTGCGTCAGAAGCAGCCTGTGTATGTTCTACTGCTTGAGGTGTGGGGTTTTTTGTTGGAGACTGTTGGAGACCCTCAAAACAACTCCATTATGAGGATTCTAATAGTATATATTTTATTGTATTAAGGTAATTTTAGTCTAAAGCTTCTTCCATGTAGCAGTCTAGAAATGCTAAACATCCTGTGAGCTAAATATTCTGTGAGCTCCAAAATATAGTTAGGTATGTTCCTTGAAATAATTTGGGGTGTTGGCTACTAAATAACCTTTGTAGTGTAAGTAAGATTACATGGTTTCAAAATCTCAAGTACTAACCTCAGTGTGAGTCCTTAGTCCTGGGGTATTATAAATGCTCAGAATAAATACTTCATTTTAGCCCTGAATCCTTCTTGGAGTGTGAGCTAAGATCTGTCATTAGAAATTACATTACCTTTTTTCTGGTGTTCTTTTCTGTTTGGTCTTGTGGCTATTTATAAATGAAGGGTTTATTTATCTGGTGACTGTTTTTTCTCTTTAACAGAACAGTAGCTATCCATCAATGACTGATCCTTATCTGTCCAGTTATTATCCACCATCTATTGGGTTCCCCTATTCTCTCAGTGAAGCACCATGGTCTACAGGAGGAGATCCTCCTATTCCTTATCTCACCACCTATGGACAGCTCAGTAATGGGGATCATCATTTTATGCACGATGCCGTTTTTGGACAGCCTGGGGGTCTGGGAAATAATATCTATCAACACCGGTTTAACTTTTTCCCTGAAAATCCTGCCTTCTCAGCTTGGGGAACAAGCGGATCCCAAGGACAGCAGACACAAAGCTCAGCATATGGGAGCAGTTACAGCTACCCACCCAGTTCCCTGGGGGGTACCATTGTGGATGGACAAACAGGATTTCATAATGACACATTAAATAAAGCTCCTGGAATGAACAGTATTGAACAGGGAATGGTTGGACTTAAGATTGGTGGAGATGTTACAACTTCTGCAGTGAAAACAGTAGGTTCTGTTGTTAACAGTGCCGGGATGACAGGTGCCCTCTCTGGGAATGGTGGATCTAATGTAAACTTGCCAGTATCTAAACCAACCTCTTGGGCTGCTATTGCCAGCAAGCCTGCAAAACCACAGCCTAAAATGAAAACAAAATCTGGACCTGTAATTGGAGGAGCGTTGCCTCCTCCCCCTATAAAGCATAATATGGACATAGGTACTTGGGACAATAAGGGTCCTGTGGCGAAAGTTCCTGCCCCCCAACAGATACCTTCTCCTCAGTCTGTTCCACAGCCACAGCAACCAATTGTTCAGCCTGTTCCAGCTCAGCCTCCTCCATTGACTCAGCCACAGTATCAGACCCCTCAGCAGCCACCCCAAAACCGCTGGGTAGCTCCTCGCAACAGAAATGCAGCTTTTGGCCAAAGTGGAGGAACTGGGAACGACACCAACTCAGCTGGCAGCACCCAGCCCAACCCAGTTCCAAGTGGTGAGTCCCATCCTGTCCTTGAAAAACTGAAAGCTGCTCACAGCTATAACCCTAAAGATTTCGAATGGAACCTTAAAAATGGACGTGTGTTCATAATAAAGAGCTATTCCGAGGATGATATTCATCGTTCCATTAAATATTCTATTTGGTGTAGTACGGAACACGGCAACAAACGCCTGGACAGCGCTTTTCGCTCCATGAACAGCAAGGGCCCGGTGTATTTGCTGTTCAGTGTCAACGGCAGTGGACACTTCTGTGGAGTAGCAGAGATGAAATCACCTGTGGACTATGGCACCAGTGCAGGTGTCTGGTCTCAGGACAAGTGGAAGGGGAAATTTGATGTCAAGTGGATCTTTGTGAAGGATGTGCCCAACAACCAACTGAGACACATCAGGCTGGAGAACAATGACAACAAACCCGTTACAAACTCCCGTGATACACAGGAGGTGCCCTTAGAAAAAGCAAAACAAGTGCTTAAAATTATTGCTACTTACAAGCACACGACCTCCATCTTTGATGACTTTTCTCATTATGAAAAGCGCCAGGAAGAGGAGGAGGTGGTGCGGAAGGTAAACTTATTAAAAAATTTATTTTATACACAGATATGGGGAAAATGAAATGTGAAGGCTGCTATGGTGGAAAAAATGTAAGTAGGAATTCAAAATGTTTTTAATACATCTCAACTTGATGGTTTCTTCTGTGTTTAACAACACAAATCTGATGCATATTTCTCTGTGAAAGTTTCACGAGTCAATGAGTTTCAAAGCAGAAAGCTAAGCAGTAATACGGGTAAAGGACTTTATGTCCAGTTTATTGGAGTTTGATTTATTTTTTTATCTTAAAATGGTTAATAGAAAATAGTTTCTGTTTCGGAATTGGGTTCTGCCAGTGATTGTCACTTAAGTTTTTTGCCTTAAATATGAGGTGTTTTAACACTGTTTGACTGGAACTGGGCTATCAAAATTGATACCTGTATTGGTATTTGAAATTTGTACATCACCTTTAAGAATAAGAAACCTGATTTTGTTTATTCAGTTTATCTCTCTGGAAAAGAAATAGTTGCATAATATTGCTGGAATAGCGCTAGAAAGAGTGCATTTATGCTGCTGAAGTCACATGTATTATTTGGCTAAATAAAGGTTTTCAGTTCCCAGGTTTAATCTGTCTACTAATTCTTGAAGTTTTGAGTGAAGATGCAGTGAGAGAAGTCTGAGCAGTAACTGGGAGAGTGTTGTAAAACTTCCCATACACTTTAATGGCTCTAAGTCTAACACAAGGGATCTCTGTCCCTCTCCATCCCACAACCTCAGTTTCAAGAATGCCTTTCTCTAATTTGGCTGTCTAGAAGTAATGGCCTGGCAAAATAATAGGCGTCAGAATCTGTAGTTGCTACTGAAGTAACACTTAAATTTGCTTGGTGTTGATAGTGTTTCCTAGACCTTTTTTGTATACCATTGCAAATGCAGCATTTGTTTGACTGGTTGGTTTAGTTTAGGGTAGCTCACACTTTGTTTTAAGGTGTTTTTAAAGCAAAGACTTAATGCGTGTTCCTGCAGCTTAAATTTTAAAATTGCCATTTTAAAGTTCTTCTTGCCATTTAAAAGTATAGATAAGATTGCTTTAAGCTGTCTTCACAGATTGTACCCTTAAATTATGTAAGAAAAGGAGTTCAGTGTCTTTAAAACTTTGAGGCTGAACTTTTCTTGGCCATGACAGATCTGCATAGCTGACCTCAGCACAGCAGGGAAGGACAGCTTAAAATTGCAAGTTTTTCTTGTGTACTCCCTGTGGGGTTCCGCAAGGTAAAACCTACAGGGCTTTACTTGAACCCTTTATTCTTTCAGTAGATAATTAGCAATTCAATATTTAATGCTGCCTGTGTCTTGGAGAGGTGTTCCCTTATGTAGGAGACAATCTTGACAAAGTGAGGCAGCCTGGGTTCCAGTGTTTGTAGCGGGGTGTGATTGCTTTGGGTTTTTAATTCTGTCTCCCTGTGCTCTGCTGCCAAGGCTGGAGGGGAGAACTGTGGGTGTTTGAGAAGTGAGAGCACAGGGAAAGTGATAACAGATCTACACTTACACAGATAACTCCCTGGCCTGAGCAAGATCCCAGTGGATCTGCAAACACCAGAGTTTCTGTGCTTTGTAGGATCTCAGAGGGCTGGTGTTTGGCTATTGAGCTGATCTCATCTTGGATTGATTTAATAAACACAACTAATTCCCACTATCTGCTCAAAAATATTCTTACCCAGCTCACTGCTTTATTTGTAACAGGATCAGTTTTTCAAAATAATGCATTTTCCTTCCTCATTTAAAACAGAGGCTCTGGCTTGTATTATAGATTAACAGAATATACTATGAAGTCTAATTTAGTATTTCTTAGATTCCACTGAATAGCTTAGAAAATGGGACACCAAACTACTCCAAGGAAGATAATAGAGAGCTAGAGAGCTGAAGCAGAGCAGCAATGAAGGAATGAAAAATAAGATGCTGCTTGTCAGGTTGCACTCTATAAAACTTGTCTGGAAGTCACTATTTTTCCCTTTTGTTGACAAAATGAATTTTAGAAGTCAAGCTGATTTCTAGAAGAGTTTGTTCTTTAACAGGATATACACGCACCTTAAATTCTTATTGTTAAGAAGTTTGTGCTTTTGAAGTTCAAACCTTCCTGTTAAAAAAGTTATTCTTCCTATGACAGTAATTTTTGAATAATCTTATTGTCAGTTAAAGTATCTTATGACCTAATTGGCATTTTCAGATAGTTGTTTTTATAAGTGCCATCTCAACTGGTTTTAACTCATTATACTCTTGTTTAGCTGTAAAATAGTTGAAATTCTGTGCTTCCATTTCATTTGTGATTACATAGGGACACAATTCTTGGAAAGCTGTACATGGAGAGCTTAAATGATACAATTTAACTTATACACAAATATTTAGTAGAGAATAATAACTTAATCTGTGCAGGGCAAGCCACTGGCATTTCAGCTCTTTAGATGGTTTCAGTTTGTTGCTAACCAACCAGCTTTTCCATGGCTGCTGTGTGCAGAGCCAGCTCCAGCTGCTGAGTTTAACTGATGTAGGAGCCCTCAGTGTCAGTGCCAAATCATCCAGTGGGGCCTTTGGCAGGTGTAATGCTGGATGAAATACTTTCAAGTGCTAAAGATTCATCACTTTGCAGCATTGCTGAAAGAAGATATCCCTCCAGAACTGAGAGAGGATTTGGTCATGCTGGAGTGTAAGTCCAGCTTTTGATTTGGCACACTGAAATACGTAAAACCAGTCTGATGACCCAGAACCTGGGAGGGGAGTAATGGAAGGGTATTGGGGTCTGGAATGAAATAGCAAAACAGTGAGTGGCATGAATTTTCACCTGACCCTCACAGCCTTTTTCAGTCAGTTCCAGAGCTGCTACAGTGCCCACAAAGAGCTACTTCTGTCAACTAAGCTCATGCTCTGAAAACTGTAAAAAACGTTGTGATGTTGAAGAGAGCTTCTCTTAAAGAAGAAAATAGAGTATGATGTGGTATTGGTTATTAATGTTCCCTAAAAGCATGCCATGAGAGCTTTAACAAAGTTGTCTTCCAAAGTTTAAAAGCTTGTAAAGACAAACTTGTTGCAGATCTCGGTACTTCACAGGTGACAGATGAGCTGTCAGCAGCTCATGCTCCCAGATCTGCACCACAGCAGATGGTCCCAGTTCCTCTACTGGGCTGCTGAGCTGTCACCTCTGGTCCGGGCAAGACACTGAGCTCTACACCTTGGTGTTGTGTTGGCAGAGCTGCACAGTGTCAGAAAGCTCCTGAGTCACCAAGATTACCAGTTCTGCTTTAGGAGATTAAATACTGAAAAGTGTTGGCTGGTGCGTATTGGCACCTGGAAATACTCAATTTCTCCTAGCACTGTGCGATTCCTTTCAGTGATGAGCTTTCTGTGAACACAATCACAGAATTTAAAAGGATGGAATATTATCTTTCCTCCAAAGCTCTAGTTAAAAAATGTATGTTAAGATTAATACTGTGTTCCTGAGATAAAGAAAACATTTCTATTTTTGTGTCTGAAGATGAATGCTTTGATCCCACTGACTTTAACCAAGTTTAGTAGGAAAGTTGAAGCTACTTTAGCCTGAGGTGAAGAGAAAAGAAGTTTGACAGGGATGAATGTCTCCAAGATGGAAATTTCTGCAAGTTTTGTGGAAACCTATTTTCCCTGTGTCTGAAGACCATGCAGATTAGTGTCCTGAAGGAGAAGTGTGAGCTGGAGCTCTCCTGTGAGATATCAAGAGTATTCCACTGGAGAAGAGAAGCTGAAGGTTCCGGATCTTCAGAACCAGAATGAGCACAGCTTTGTTAGCTGCTTACAAAACTGTTTGTTCTCGCTTGCAGTAGTGCTAAGTAGCAGTAAGGAAGAGAATTTGAAAGTTAGAGCTGCTAAAAATCAGCCATGCTCCAGAGCACGAAGAATTGTTGCATCACTTTATGTGGTTTCAGACATTTGTAAAGAGGAAGACTCAGATTAGCCCCCAAGAGAGAAAGCAAAAAGCAAGGTAGGAGGAACTGCTTGGGAACTTGCTCAGTAAAGAGCACTTTTTACTGAACTGCAGAGTCTGAGCTGAGTTTCTGAATGCCATGAGCACTTCAGGTAGAGGTCTCAGGTGTTAGCCTGCCTCTTTCTATGTGGGACTAGTCCATGAGAATGGGAAGTTTCCATTTCTAAAGAAAGTGTAATTAGGAAGGTCAGTTAGTGACTACACAGAAAACTAAAAATAAGTTTACATGAGGTGGCAATGGGAAAGAATTGGGCTCATGAACATGGTAGGGCCATAAAGGGGATGTGCCTTGGAAATAGGATGAAGCAATTACCTTTTTTTGGAAGGCTGAAAATGAAGTTTTTATTATTCAGTTCTAGATACTTTGTAACCACCTTTTTGAAATGTCAGGCAGACATAAGCTCTTTTTATTAAGAACAACATGTAATGTTCTGACACTGCCATTAAGAAATGGCTTTTGCTGATAATTCATCATAGTTGAGAGTTAAAAGACAGGAGGAATATAGATTTTTATAATAAATTCTACCACTTTACACAGCCTTTTGTTGATTTGGTATAACAACTTTGCTATCTCTTACTTCTGTCTTAAATTACAGATTAATAATTCATTCTGGGCTTTGTTGACTTAATTTTATTATGAAATTGAAATACTAATATTCTGCCTGGAGGCAGAAATCAATATATTCAGTTTTTAAAAATCTCTTCTGTTTTTTATGCTGTGACCAGCTGAAGCTGTAAATGCAGTCTATTACATTTACAATGGTTGGTATATTTCCAAGTAAGCTTTACATCACAACAGAAACAATTCTGAGATGAACTTTGTACAGAATGAGTCCACAAAACAAAGTCTGAAGGTGTCAGTTCAGGAGTTGGCTGTTGGTGTTGCTTAGGCTAGTTCACAATTTCCTTTGGGCTAGGGTTTGGTGCCATATTGATGCATTTAAGTACAGAGTCGAGTCTTTCCATGCCACTTCTGCCCTCTAAGCAGCAAAAACAGGAAGGCTGAGCCCTTTCTGTGGGGGTGCCTTAGGTGGAGGATGCGCAGGACTAAGACCCAGCAGTCTGGTTCTGTCCTGCTGTCGTTGCACCTTCTGCACTTGGGCTCCTGAAACCTTGAGTGGAGAAATGCCCTGTTCTGCTGGGCACTGCTCAGGTGTCTGTGGAAGCCCTGTGCTGCTGGCAGAGCACAGGGTCACTGATGGGGGCTCACTGTATGTAGAAGCACAAAACTTTTCTTCTACCTAATGTTGTTTTTATCTCTTACCTCCAAGTATTTCCCAGTGCTTCCCAGAGTAGTTGAACTGCTAGGAAGAACTAGGGGCAGAATTTCTCGACAGCTCAAATCCCTGCTTTTACTGAATGTGACTAAACTCCAAAGTCATTCGAGTGCTTCAAAATTAGACCAGTTCTGTGGAGTTCACTAATCTGCCATCTGCTTTCTGCTCGTGTATTGGTTGTGCTACTACTGCAGTAGCTAAAATAATCCAGAAAGCAGAATATTGCAGATCCTGTTTCTCCTTAGGAGTGTTGATATTTCATACCTTTCTCTCTCTGTGACCTTGGTTTGAAGTGACTGCAGGTATTCATCCAGATGTTCCATTTGAGGCTGCACTTAAAAACATTTAAGTCACTAAGTCCTTGGGTTTGTTGGGTATGAGCAATATATTTATAAAATGTAGCAGCATTGTTTTAAGTGTATAATTATCTGGGATCACATTAGTGCTGTTAAACTACTAAAAACTCTGCTTGTTCCTTTGACTAAAATCTTAACTTTTTTCTCTTTGCAGGAACGTCAGAATCGAAACAAACAATAAGAATAAACATATACAGTTTGATATATATACTAGAACTGATATTAAATTCGACTATGAGAAACAAAATTAAGTATAACTGGTGCTGTATCCTGGCATCAGGACAAACTAAAGCTTTCAGCTCCAATATATCTTCTCGTGCAGGGGAAATTAAGTTGTTGCATCTTTAAGTACATTGTAGTTTATTTTTGCCCAAGTGGATCTGCATTAATTTGTATCTTTTTTCTATGTAAAATTCTGTAGAAATCATTAATAAAGGTGTGTCTGTTTTTATTTTTTTAAGTTGGTAAACAGTTATATTAACCTAATGTGGACCTATACATGAGCATACTAAAGTGTCAGTGCTTCCCAAAGACTTTATTTTGGCACAAATTATGTTCCTAGCCAGATATAGAGATTATGGAGAATACATGACAAATCTTCCTTTATCCTTCTCCCAATCCCTTTTTCTTCATGGCAGAAGTAAGGAACCATGCATTGATTTTTTTTTTTTATCATTTGAAAAAATAAAACCTCCTAAGATACTGCACTTCAGAATTTAAAATTAAAAAAACCCTAAATTTCTGATCACTTTGTGCAGATGCTCTGCCTCTTTATTTATCTGTACAATTACTCTTTTAAAACTGCTGATGCGCCATGTTGGTTTTTTCTGTCTAGTAGAAAATCAAATTGTCAGTGGAATTGTTTCTCTGGAAAATATTTCCCTTTCACATTCTGTTAACCAGTGCTTCAGTGTGCATCTGTTATTCCATATCCTGCCGAGGGTGAGCGAGACGCTTTCTCTCAGCCATAATTCTGCTTTACGGTTTTTGTAGCTTAATTAAATAATAATGTGATGCTATCGACATTGCAGGGGTTTTAAACAATGTGTTTAAACCTTTCAGCTTTCAGGTGTTATTAGTTAATTGCAGATCATTTTTAATCCTTCCCTTCATTACTCTCTCCCAACCCCCCCAAATCCTAATGCCATTTAAAGTTTTTATACCGATAATGCTGAGCTTTAACGTAGGAACTAATAGTACGGATAATATGATGGATTATGCCTCAGATGTTTAAAATTGACAGTGTGTATGTCTAATTTTTTTTTTCTGTTGGATGAGTAAAAAAACCTGTTTTAAGAAATTGAATTTGCTGTCATGTTTTTGTGGAGTGAGGGGACCGTCGGAGAACCTGTCACCAACTGGAGTTCCAGTTAAGCATGGAAATGGTGCTCATGTCCGCTGCTCTAGCACACTGAATCTGCACGTGTTTATTGTAGAGGATCTTTTACTATATTAGAAAGCAAGTATCTTCTGAATACTATTTACTCCAAAAGGACCTCCAATTTAAATAAAGTTTAATCTGTATCATTTAGACTTGTATTTAGAACGTATAACTCTGTCTCTGGACTGTTACTGCCTGTAAGGAGTAATGGACAGCATCAGATTAACTTTTTCCTCTAGGAGAATACAAGCCTTAATAAACAATACATATTTAGCAAGCTTGATGTCATTTTCATTTTTTCCCTACATTCAGTTGTCTTCCTCTGTTCCAATCACCCTCCGCAATTAAATCTAACTTGAGAAGGGGTTTGATGGAGTAACTCAGATGTTTGCTCTCAGCACACCTGAATGGTTTCACAGACTCTGCAGAGGATATTTAAGCTGCTTCGTCTATTCCGATTCCTCAGAGGACCTGGGTCCATGTGCAGTGGCTGTCACTTGTGTTTCTCTTTCTCCTTGTATGGTGGAGAAGTTGAGGAGAGGACTGGCAGCTGTGCCATGTCCTTGAGGAGGGAGCAGCACAGCCTTGGGTCAGGAGGGTGAGAAAAGAGCTTCCCAAATCCAGTAACGCTCTGACCAGTTCCTTTCCCAGCACTTGGCTGTGTTTCCCAGCTCGAACTGTAGTAATTTGCTTTGATATCTTTTTTTAACTGACTTACTGAAGCAATTCTGCATTTTATAAACATGTTGCCATCCAATAAAAGCACCTGCTGTTAGTTTCAGTTGTTACATCAGTACACTTCCACTGGTAATTCTAAGCCAAAAAGAACTGCTGCATATAGACCCTCAAGAAAAGTTAGTTACACAACTTCAGTACTTTTTTTTTTTCAGATCTAAACGCTCTTTGCTATGATATACCTATAGACTCCAGGTAAATGGTTTCTAAAAGAAAAAATTTAAATAATTGTGAGCCTTCAGCTGGAACTAGTTTGACTGTATTAAAGTGATGCTGTGTTTCAGCTGTCTGGCTTTATGGGCAACAGAAAACAGCTTCAGTAAGAAGGTTTGTTACTGACACTGCAGTGTTGTACAGCCCTATCAGAGAGGTGGGAGAAGATTTAACAGTGGGTAAAATAATCCTGTTCATCACAAGCACGTTGGGTGCTCCCATAACTGCAGTGCTGGCTGCTGGTCCTGATTTTTCAATCCTCTGCCACTGCAATTCCAAGGGATGACTCACTTTTTGTGTTTCACAGAGTTCACATTTCACTGTGAGGGGGAAGAAACATTCTTCCAGTGTCTCTTGAAGAATAATTTCATGTCACAAGTCTTGCTTATTCTTTATTTAGTCCAAGTAATAGTTCTAAAGGAATGTTCCTGCGTGCTTTTGGAATCAGTGCTTAAACTCACTCCTTAAATGAGGTGCTTTGCTTGATGTTTCTGGAGTTTGGATGTTACAGTAATGCTGCTGCCTTTCACTTTTAAGCCAAATGGAGCTGGTAACACCAAATGCTGATTAGAAGTTAAATTATTTCTCTGGTTCAATTACTGGTTGGTGGTGGCAGCACATTGCAGTGCTCTGAAGCTGTAATATGCATCATGAGGGGTAAAAACTTACTTGTTTGCAGGTAGTAAGCCAAAATTAATAGTACTGAATAATCAAATGTTTATGGAGATTGTATTTGTCACTGGGAGTGACTTGAGCTCGTAGAGAAAACAATGAAGTTAAACCTACACTGAAATGTGAGGGCAGAAACAGGCAGACAGAAATTCAAGATTACTTCTCTTGCATAGCACATCATGCTCATAAGGCCAGACTGATCTTTTACTTCTCTTTTTTGGGAGATAGAAATAGAGGATGTAAAATTTAAAATTCTACTTTTTTTTTTCCCCCACCCTTAACACTGCTGTTGATATTCAAAGATGTGTGTCTTCAGAAAATGCTTGATATTTCTTTGGAGAACTTAAAGATATTTATGAATTTACTTAAAGGGTATTAGTGGGATCTCAGTGGAAAGGAGAGCAGTATGGATTTCTAAGCATTAAACTGACCACAGTGCACTACAGAGCATGGATAAGTGATTTGCTTTTCCTCTTTAACAATGAGGGATTTTATTTGGCCAAAGATGGAAATTCCAATAAATGTAGCCATAAAAAAAGAACTTGCATGCAGAGATAGTGCAAAACTATCAAAAGAAAACTAACTGATGTAATGTTACTGCCCTTTTCCGGTTTCTGCACTTACTGAGAAAAGAAGCTGAGAGGAGTAAGGGAGATTTAGTTAAAATAGCAGATAAATGCAAAACAAAGCACAAACATCTGAAGGAGGGAAGTGTGTTTTGATGTAATGCTCCTTTTCCTGGTCTCTCAGCTACTTTGAATTCTTTATGTTGAACAATCTGTTTCCCTTGGAAAAAGCTCTGGCTCTTGCTGACAACAGTGCTCAGCATCTGCTCGTTTCAGGAGAAAGCTGTTCACTATTTTTGGGGAAGTGCAGGTTTTTAATTGGGGTTTGTGATCCTGCCCAAGAACAGAGCAAGTGTAGTTGTGGCTGTGATCACTGCCTTGGCTGTAGCCTGCCTTGTCCACAGCTCCTTTGAGAAGGAACAGCTCTTGTTTGGCCTATTTTTAGAATTAGGAGTTGAGTCAGAATGTTGAAATGACTTAATTGGGGTGTGACTTGGCAGAGGGAGATTTTGGATTTCACAAGAAACATGGTTCAGCCCGATGGACTGTTCCATAGCTGACATCATTCCCACAGTGCAACTTCCCAGGTCACATCTCTTGGTGCTTTGACCAAATGTGAGGGTGAAGGGAAATGTCCTGGGTATGAACATTATCTATTTTGCAGCTTTCCTGTCTTCAGAAAGCTCATGTTGATTAAAAAAAAGCTTTCAAATTGCCTCTTGCAGAAGCAGCACTGCATTGCACGTGCAGGTGGTGGCAGTCAGGGATGTTTCTCATTTCCCTGTCAGAGCATGAGCAGGGCAGGGCTTTAGCAATTCCAAGAACAGCTTTTGTTCCCTGGTACAATACGGAATTAATTTCCCTGTTTTATGGAGGATCATCGTTTCAGGGCACCTTTGTAATCCCTTGGGAAATGCTACACACAAGAGTGCTGACTTGACTTGTGTCTCCTCATTTTGCTTCCTGTAGCATCCCTGATCTCCCTTTTGTTCACGTTCTGAGGTGAGTTTCTGCCAGCACGAGTAAGACCTTGGAGATGTGCCTTCTTCAGCATGCAGGACTTCATGGAACTGGCATCAACACTGTCTTTTACTGAATATCCTTCAATTTGGAGAGCGTAGGAGGTTTTATGCCATCTGTCTGTTTATAAGTTATTCAAGAAATTATTTTTACCTGGGATGTTACCATGACAACAGACAGACAGTAAAGTCTTCACCAAATGCATTTCTAATGTCCAACTGCTGCTAAATCAGTAGGATCTGGTGTTTTGCTGTGCTTTCAATAATGAAGACAGTGGGAAAGAGGTGTAAATACTTGTTTTACCAAATATACGTTCTCCAGGTATTTTTAGATTATTAATGCAGTGCCTTGGGCAGTAATACATATTGCAAGCAACTTCCTTAAATATTTTTTTCCCCCTCACCATCTGGGTGTGAGAATAGGAAGAAAATAATTTTTGTCAGTAAAGGATACATTGATTTATACATATATTATTAGGGAGCTTTTTTCATTATTTGTATCTACTTTGATTTCTGTGCTTTGCTCTGCGGGTCTGCAAATTGTAACTTGAGCAATTTGATTATTGATAACATTTCAGTGTTTAGGATAGCTCAGCATCTCCCTGGAAGTTGCATTCTGCAAACCCTCCTGAGTTAGAAACCACTGATGTAGTAGGAACTGTTCTGCTGCTGTCTTGTGACAACACATTTCAGTTGAAAGCACTTGATGGCAGAGAAATGGAATGTTCAGGTTCTTGCAGTTGAAGGCACTTTGCTGAAATAGTATTTAGTCAGTTCTGATAAAACTTTGGGGAGCTGGGAGTCATTAGGCTCAGAAGTAGCAAACCAGATCATTGTCTACACCTAGAGGGAGAGTCGCTTTTTCACTCAAGACTGCACATGCCCTGCTATGGGCCCAGATTTATGAAGTTTGGAGTTAAACTTGCTGGTAGAGAATGGCTTCTTCTTCACCCCCTTTGTGGATAATCAGCCCATTCAGGGAATAATGGATTTTGGAAGGTCTGGGGATTTATGGAGACTCTGGCTTTCTGAGTCTGTTGGTGTGTATGAAAATCCTTCCTAATAAAAATCTGTTTCATGCAAATTTGTAAAATATCAACACTATACATGTATGTGAGCACAAATACTCTGATTTGTTGGGGGAAGAACTCAGAGGTCTGCAAAAAAACCCCAAAACTGTCAGCAGAGGCTTTTGGCCACTTGTAAAAAATCTGATTATCCAGAACCCTTGAGAACACTTTGGTGAAAAGACAAGGTGCTTTGATGTTTTGGCCTGTATTTCATAAATACATGGGTGACATTTGTTACCTGGCATGAAAATTCACATTGATTAAGCACAACTATCTGTAAAGTTTCTAGAGCTCTGTTCCCATCTTTAACTCGTGCTCAGCTCTCTGAAAGGTGCTCTGAGATACACAAAAGCTGAGATCCTTCCCAGCTCTGCTGCTCAGGAGGGGGGTAGGACAGAGGCTGGAAGGTGGATGCAGGGTAGGACTGATAACAAAACTATGCCGTGGCAGAGGATTGTTGAACCATTTGTTTAAAGAGTGCAGGTTTAATCCTTAAAGGAGCTATTTTGTCCTTTCCCACAGGTGCTCTAAGGTAGAGCGGGGACCAGAGGTAGCAGCCAAAAAGGCTGAGCAGGGAGGCCCTGGAGGTGTCGGGAAGGAGCAGTTACTGGGAAGGACTCCATTTCTGGGACAGTATTAGATTCTGAGGTATCAAAGCAGGTTTTATTTCTTAAGCCACTGGCAAATTGTTGAGATTTTTCTCATATTTTATCCTTTTTAGTCTTCACTCTGTGTCACTTTGAGGTCTCCCTTTGAATCAAAATACTCAGTTGTGGCATGCTGGAATTGAACAGTTGGCAGAAGCTGGATGGTCAGACACTTAATCACACCAAATTCAGGGCTGTTCTGCCCTGTTTTTTATATGTAGTACCTGCTGAACTGAGCTAATTATTTCACAGTGTTCAGGGATTTATGCTTTTTTTCACTATTGCTAGATCAGCCACCAGAAATTTGGAACAAAAGAACCAATTATGGAGGTGTAGCTGTGTGTTGTATCACTGG